TGGATAAAGTAGACAGCATGCAAGAATAGGCATTGCACCGAGAAGGGAATTCTAAAACAAATGTTGGAGATCAAAAACTAACAGAAATGAAGAATGCTTTGGTGGGCTTATCAGCAGACTACACATAGCTAAGAAAAGAATCTGACTTGAAGTTCTCTCAGAAAAACCTGGGAAGGGCGCCTGGGTGGCTCAGTTGCTTAAGTGTCTGCCTTCGGCTCAGGTCATGATCCCAGGGTTGCGGGATCTGGTCCCTTGTCGGGCTCCCTGCTCAGCAGGGAGCCTGCTTCTCCCTCTGCCCGCCCCCCATGAAGAAATAAATAAAATCTTTATAAAGGGAAAAGAAAAACCTGGGAAACTAGGAAAAAACAAATGGCAAGGCCTGAAAAAAGCAGACTCCACAACTGTGGAAAAACCACAAAAGCTGTCAACTACCAATTATAGGGATAATAGAAGAAAGCAAGCAACAAAAGAAATTGAATAAATAATAACCCTCCAAAACAGAACCCAGCAACCTCAGGTGGTTTCAGAGGGTAGAGGCAGAGCGTAAGCCCCACCTCCTAAGAACCAAGCACTACCCTAACACCCAAACCAAACAAAGCAATGGCAAGTAAAGAAAACTTTAGACCCTATCTCTCATGAACATAGGTGCGAAAATCCTCACCGAGACGCCACCACACACCTATTAGAATGGCCAAACTCGAACACTGAAAACAGCATAAGCTGGTGAGGATGTGGGGACAACACCAACTCTCATTCCTTGGTGGTGAGAACACTACAGCCACTTTGGAAGACGCTTGGGCAGTTTCTTACAAAACTAAACCTACTCTTACCATATCTGGCAATTGTGTTCCTTCGTATTTACCAGAGAAGTTGAAAACTTGGGGCCATGCAAAAATCTGCACGCAATTGTTTCTAGCAGCTTTATTCGTAATTGCCAAAACTTGGAGGCAACCAAGATGTCTCCTTAGTGGGTGAATGGATAAACAGTGATACATGCAGACAATGGAATACTGTTCAGCTCTAAAAGGAAATGATCAAGCCATGAAAAGCCGTGGAAGAACCTTAAGTGCATATTACTCAGTGAAAATAGCCCATCTAAAGAGGCTTCATACTGAATGATTCCAAGTATGTGGCGTTCCAGAAAAAGCAAAGATATGGAGAGATTAAAAGGATCAGTGGTTCCCCAGTAATGAGTGAGCAAGGGAGTGATGATGGAATGGAATCAGAGGACTTTTAGGGCAGTGAAACAGTATCTATGTGATACTGTAATTATATTATTATGAATTTGCTAGACTCAGAATGTGCACACCTAATATGTGCAATGTGCTCTGGGTGATAATGATTTTCAGTTATAACAAAGGTACCATTCTGGTGGGGGATGTTGATAACGGAGGAGGCGCAGCATGTGTGCAGGCTAGGGATATATGGGAGATAGCTACCTTCCTCTTCATTTTCTTATTAACCTAAAACTGCCCTAAAAGAAAACAAAGTCCTTAAATCATATATATATATACATATATACGTATATATATATGTATATATATATAATTGGACCGCATTGGCCAAGCGTTAGTAAGCCTGGGTTTTACTTCCAATCCTGCCACTAACTAGCCCTGCAAGCAACTTCCCTTAGCTGGGCCCTAATTTAATTTTCAGCAAAGGGAGGAAGTGGGCCTTGGGATCTCTAAGCCTTTTTCGTGTTCCAACTTTCTGTAGTCAATACTAATTGTTTCTTTCTACTTTAAAGCTATAAAGGGCTATCTCAATCTTTGCAGATTTGTTTATTAGATCAAATAAAATGGAATAATATGGACATATACAAAATAATAATGTCTATTTAAAAATATCAGAAAGGGGCACCTGGGTGGCTCAGTCGGTTAAGAGTCTGCTTTGGCTCAGGTCGTGATCCCAGGACCCTGGGACAGAGCCCCCCACTGGGCTCCCTGCTCCACGTGGAGCCTACTTCTCCCTCTGCCCCTCCCCCCGCTTGTGCTGTCTCTCAAATAAATAAATATTTAAAAAAAAATAAAAAGATCAGAAAGTTACAAGTTTTCAATATTTTTTAAACAGTTTAATTCAGGCATAATTGACTTAAGCTGCTAATATTTAAAACCCAACATTTTGTAATTTACATGCTTATGGTATTAAAAGTTTCCTTCTACCCTTTGTAATTTATCCTCTTGCCATAGGAAATTACTCAGAACAGGACATATTCTACCCTTTGTAATGGCATTTTCAAATATATTCCCCAAATGGAAAAGACTATTAGGAAATTGTTATTCTGTCATTATTTATCATTTTATGGTCAATTCTTTCATCTACCCCCATGCACTTAGTGGTTTGTTTATGATCCCAAACATGATGTCATTCACACCTACCCCATTCAGAATGTGTTTATAAAATGGAAACACTCCTATATGACTCCAAAAACTTGTTTACAATAAAAATATTTGAAATTATGAAAAGTCATTTTAAGTGCTGGGTTTCATCAGCTGTGATGGTTATTTAGCACAAATTGATTTCAATCAGGATGGGAAATTTAGCCATAGGCAAGTATTAGGTGAATCTTGCAAGTCATCTTTTTTTTTTAAATTCAGTAGGCTCCATGCTCAACATGGGTCTTGAACTCATGACCCTGAGATCAAGAGTCCCATGCTCTACAGACTGAGCCAGCCAGCTGCCCTTCTTATGAGCCTTTTAATTAACCTATACGTACCACTTACCACTTGTTGGTTTTTATTGTTCACTTGGTGAGGTTGCCAGGCCTTTTGTCTGTTAGAATTTGCTACAGTGTAGATGTGGCTTGTTGATTTGTTCATGCTCTGCCTCCCCTACATTTTTTTTTTTTAAGATTTTTTTTTTTAATTTAATTATTTGTCACAGAGAGAGAGAGAGCTCCTCACTGAGCAAGGAGCCCAATGCAGGACTTGATCCCAGGACCCTGGGATCATAACCTGAGCCAAAGGCAGACGCTAAATAACTGAGCCACCCAGGCGTCCCCCCACCTCCCCCTACATTTCTTGTACACTAGCTTTGCTCAACATCATGAACCATCAGGGAAATGCAACCAGGACCACAGTGAGATACTGCTACATTTTACAAAAAGGGTTCAAATTTTAAAAGACTAACCATACGCACTATTAGCAAAGATACCAGAGACCTGGAACTCCCATACACTGCTAGTAGGAATACAAAATGAATAATCATTTTCCAAGAAAATCTGGTGTCCTTTATGAGGTCATACCTTTCACCTACACTATGACTCAAGTATTAACACAATAGAAAGGAACCATACCAACAGGAAGAACAGTATCCAAATTTTGCATTTTTTTTTAAAGAAAGGGTTTTAGTGATTATTGGGCTTGTTGCAATTCATTCATTCATTCATTCATTCATTCATTCATTCATTCATTTATATTTATTTATCCAGAAAGCATCAGTGCGCATGCTCAGGCAGGGCAGTGGGGGGCAGTTGCGGGGGAAGGATGGGGGAGAGAGAGAGAGAGAATGTTAAGCAGGCTCCACACCCATGGTGGAGTCCAATGCTGGGCTCACTGGGCTTGATCTCACAACCCTGAGATCATGACATGAGCTAAAATCAAGATTTCAAATGCTTAACCCAAAGGACAACCCAGGCACCCCTTCTGCAGCAGTTTTACTTGCAGCCCGCCAAACTGGAAACAATTAAAATAACGATAAAGAGATGAATACATAAATAAATAGTGCTATATCGATAGAACCTACTTCTCAAAGATATAAAGAATGAACTGCTCATTTAAGCACCACAGATAAACTTTAAAAAATGTCACATGAGGGGACACAAGGAAAAGGAGGATGAAACACTTTTAAGACTTCAATCGTATAAATTCTAGAAAATGCTAACTCATCTACTATAATGAAAAGCAAGTCAATGGATGCCTCGAGGAGATTATTAAAGAACAAAAAGTAAATGTGGGGGTGATGGAAAGGTTTATTATCATGATTGATGGCTTCATGGGTTTATGTGAAAGTCAAAATGTCAAATTGCACAATTTAATGATGGACATTGCATGTCATTTGTACCTTACTGAAACTTAAAAAAATATGGTTAAAATTAAGTCTGGATTCCCTATGCCTCAGAAAATTAAGTTTGGCCACCATACTGACTCCACCATCTTTCTCCTCATCAGAAGGCATTTGCAAAAATAGGTGAGCAATGAAGGTATTCCGAGTTCATTCAACAGGGATACCGGCTGAGTCACAAAAGGCCTCTCGGCTGCACTAAGAGATCTCTCCCGTCTCTGTCCTTGCTTTGCTACCATGCAAAACCATGGCCTTTGGTGAACAGCCCAGAGGGAACAAGGAATCCGCAAAACCTTTAGATTATTTTTTTCTGACAGGCCCTCAGCTGCACAAGATACATCCTTGTGTAGGTCCTGAGAATATCTCGATCTGCTCGTCCTTCACAGTCCTAGTGCCTAAACCCTGTGAGAGGTACATTCCAACTCGTTCACTGGTCTCCTGCACTCTCTATTAATTCAGGGTTTCTGTACCAACAATCATTCCCCTGGCCCTTATAATCTTAAAACCAGTGATGTTACTCTACAGAATTCAGGACATCAAGGCCCCTGGCTCTGCTGCTGGGTCTGGGGAAGAGATTTCCTTCACCAGCCCCGAGTACCATGCCATCAATATCCCCTGTGAACAAGAGAACAAGACCATGCCGCTCAGAAGCACTGAAGGTTGTCAAAACAACAACCAACAACTGCCCCCTCTTCGGGTTGAAACTCTGACCCCACACTTGGCATCCAAGTATAAATTAGGACCACAGAGCCCACCAGTCTTTCCTTAAAGGCTTTGAGCAGCCATGCAAAGTAGGCCCAAACTGGAGAGTTATCTTCTGCCATCATACGGTCCCTTCTGAGGCACACAACTCTGTTCACCCCTTCTTGCTCGCAAACACAGTTAATTTCAACACACACACACACACACACTGAACAGAATCCCCATGATTAATGATGGCTTAAACAATACGATCTTTATTGTCATACAGCAAGAGCAACGGGAGGCAGACTGTTCCCAGGTTGGTGATTTGGAGGCTGGGAAATGCCATCACAGAGTCTCACGAGGATAATAACATCCCTGAAAAATGTCCACTTTTTTTTTTCTTAAGATTTTATTCATTTTTTGGCAGAGAGAGAGAGAGACAGCGAGAGAGGGAACACAAGCAGGGGGAGTGGGAGAGGGAGAAGCCGGCTTCCCGCTGAGCAGGGAGCCCGACATGGGGCTCGATCCCAGGACCATGGGACCACGACCTGAGCCCGAAGGCAGACGCTTAACGACTGAGCCACCCAGGCGCCCCTGTTGTCCACCTTTTCAAATCACCAGCAGTCCTGCAGGACAAAACTGGGTGACATGCATGCCCTCTCCGCAGAGAGGAAAAACGGGGAAGGAGTAAGCGCTCAGGCTATTCATTAGTGATCCAGCAATTGCCCTGACACCGAGGTATGGCCCCTGGGCAGGTTCAAAGACTGCAAGGCAGCTACCACGTACCTGGGATTTATGCAGATGTTTGAATGTATGAGCTTCAACACAGGCAGATGGCACCTTCCTAAGGGATCTCCTCCCGTGTGGTTACATTCATCAATTAAATAACTGCCCATTTGAAATTTGTGAAGTCCTATGAGGTAAAGTCCTTCAGATGAAGGCTTTCTCATATTCACTGCATCTGTAAGGCCTTTCACTACCGTGAGTTCTCTGGAGAGCAATGGGGCTAGCCTTTGGTTAGCCATTTCCCACATTCTTCACATTCACAGGCCTTCATCTAAGGAGACACTGTGGTGTTTTAGGAGCTTGGACTCATAGGTAAAGAATATCCTACGTTCAAATACTCATAAAGTTTTTTTGTTTCAGTGTGAATATGTGAATGGTCATTGAAATGGAAGACAGAGGTGAGCGTTTCCCAAAGTCACTGTCCTCCTAAAGCCTTTCTCCAGAGTGCACTTTTCGGTGCTTAATGAGGCTAGAACTGTGGCTAAAGGATTTCCCACATTCGCTGCACTCGTAAGGTCTTTCTCCAGTGTGAATTCTCCTGTGTTTAATGAGACTATAGTTTTGAGTAAAGGATTTCCCACATTCACTGCACTCATAAGGCCTTGACCCAGTATGTACTCTCTGGTGTTTGAGGAGACTGGAACTGTAAGTAAAGAATTTCCCACATTCGCTGCACTCATAAGGCCTTTCTCCAGTGTGAACTCTCCGATGTTGAAGCAGCGCGGAGCTTTGGCTAAAAGATTTCTCACATTCGCTGCACTCATACGGCCGTTCTCCAGTGTGAATTCTCTGATGTTTAATGAGGTTAGACTTGTTACTAAATAGTTTGCCACATTCGTCACACTCGTGAGGCCTTGCTCCAGTGTGAACTCTCCGGTGCTGAATGAGGCTAGAGCTCTGCCTGAAGGACTTCCCACATTCCCCACACTCATAAGGCTTTTCCCCAGTGTGCACTCTCCAGTGGTCACTGAGGCTGTAGCTTTTGCTAAAAGATTTCCCACATTCACTGCACATGAAGCATCTCTCTCTAGCGAGGTCTCTCTGGTGGTGAACAAGCATGTGTTTGCAAGTCAAGTCCTCTGTGCCTTCTCCCCAGTTGTGTTGCGCTTTCCTTCCACGAGAGGATGCCCCATACTCCGTCGTCCTGTATGACTTCTCCCTGCTGTGTGTGGCCTGCTGCTGGAAGAATCTCGAGGTGGCCAAGATGTCCCTGACAACCTCCCCGCAGGAAAAGGGTTTCCCTGACACACACAATTTGTAGTCCTTCACAAAAGCAGCTCTGCCCGTGTTGCTTCTGAAGCATTTCTCTCCAATGTGCTCCTTCTGGTGCTGAAGGTTTGCATCAAAACACAACTGTTTCTCACATGCCCCAGTCTTGTAGAGGTTCTGTCCACAAAGTGTTGCCTGGTGCTCGGTGGAGAGCAAAAGGTCTCTCAAGTCGTGGCCACACACCTCACAAGGATGGGCCTTCTGGGGAGACACGACTGCCTTGAAAGTCCTGACCTGGGGCACGCCTTGTACAGAAACCTTCTGCTCGGGTGCCTCCTCATCCTCCACACCATGCCTACAACCTGAAAGCAAGAAATGCTGGTGAAGTGCATGCTGCCTTTGGTGGGAGGGGGCAGCTACTCTACGAGCTACAAACGTGTGTCTAAGAAACCCAGGAACCAGTGCTTGGGATTGTTTGCAGGACCAGGGAGATGGCGCAGGTGGAGGCTGGGGCTGCTTAGCAGTAGCAGGCTACAAGGAGCACAGAATGGGAGAGGCCTCATGAGGAGAAGGATGCAAGCACGTGGTGTGACACAGAGAAGAGAAACGGTCTGCAATGCATTCCTCTGCAAGCAACTTTCCAAAGGAACTTATCTCCTATGGACACACCTTTTCCGTGCAGAAGGGAGTGACAAGACCCAAGGAAATAGGACTGTAACCTGGCAGGGGGTGTTCAGGACTGCTTAAGAAAACGGCACACCTCACGACGTACTGTAGAGCGGCCAATGTGCAAAGCACTGTAGGTGGAGTGGTGAGAAAAACGAGGGAGATGTGGATCCCAGAGATGTGAGGTTAACCCCAGGCCAGAAGTAAGAGTAGAAGCGACAAGTAACAGAGTTGACAAATCGGCAGAGTGCCAAGAAAGGGGAAGAGAAGACGGAAATGAAATGTGGCCCCTGGCATCATAATACCAGTCAAACAGAAGAGGCTTCTGGTCTGATCTGAACACAGCACTGACATCATCTTCCTCCAGGTACCACTTTGCAGGGCCTGGCTTCCTCTGGGCCATCATGTTGTGCGTAGGTCAGTGTACCTACTGTGAACCACCCTGGGCTCTCCAATCCAACCCCACTCCCACAATCAGCAAGTGCATGGCAACTTCATGATACAAGTGCTAAGGAAAGGAGAGGACAGATGAGCAGCCATCGGTATCCCAGAACGACTCAGCACATGCCAGCCCATGGCAAAGAGAACTAAACAGTTCCCAGAGAGGTCGGGAAGAGGGTCTCATGAGAACAGCCCATGGTCCACAGATGTAGTAACTTTGTCACAGACAGCAAGTCCTGGCGCAGGGAGGCACAGGGAAGCCTCAGTAGAGAAAGGAAGCAGACGTGGAGCATGCAGATATCTTGCATCGAGACAAAGTCACCCAGTCAGGGAGAGGGCAGGTAAGGGGCTATCCATTAGGTTCACTGCAAGACTCCTGACCCTGATCCCTTCCTTGAAAGTCAGCAGGAAAGCTGGTGTTGGGGCTGCTCAAGGAAGGAGGGCAGTGCACTGACCTCAGCCTTACCAACCACAGCACCTACCCCAGGAACTGGGGAAGGAAGCAGTGCTCATGGTCCCTATGTAAAGACCAACTGCTCCTGGGCACAAAGGGAAGGGCAGAGACTAGCTCAGGGCACAGGGGTGGGGTTGAGGGTCTTACCCAAGGAGGTTATAAGTGCCAAGTTCTCCAGCATCACATCCTGGTACAGACATCTCTGAGCCTCATCAAGGAGACCCCATTCCTCCCAGGAGAAGTATACGGCCACGTCTTCAAAGGTCACCCTGCCCTGGCAGGATGGGGACAGATGAAACCACAAAAAGCCCCTCTCCCAAGAACCCATATCCCTTTTCCCACCCACATCTACCCTATGCCCATCCTCCCCCTGATCTCCCCAACCGAGAGGAGAAACCAGGCCCCAGTGCCTGGGTGCCACGGCACCACTGTCTCCTCGTGGCCCACCGATCGCAGGGTCCCGCTGACACAAGAAGAGGCAGGTGGACAAGTATATATCTAAGTTGTGGACCTGGCGTAGAGGGATCTCCCTGGCCATCCAGGTTATTCTGCTGAAAACCAGGGCCCTGGCGTCAATCAGGCATACTCCCTCTCCAAGGACACATCATTCTTGAGACTGGACCCCACAGCCACATGCCTGTGGTCACCACACCTCACTGTCCCACACCACAGAAACCTCCCTGGCCTCCCCACATGTTACTGGTATTTTAATCACCTCTGCTTCACCCCACTGGGGAGGGTGGGAGTCCCATCTTAGGATTATGGGGATGGCTAAACACAGAACACCTAACACTGGACAGATGAGTTGGATTGCACTTTAGTCATCACAGAAATTCACAGCCTGGGAGAGGAGGACTCCACACCCCACACAGGCCCACATGGGGGTGGCACTCTGAAAAAGAGTGAACGACCAGGAGCTGTAGGACGCACGCTTCATAGGATCAAGAGGGTGAGGTGCCTCCCGGTTCCCGTACGAGGATGTGTAACTCTGTGGGCTGGTAGGGCACTGAAACCCATACAAAGGGAAAAGCAGGAAATGCACCTTTGATGAAAAGGTTGTTTGATCAGGAGACCTTCCCAACAGCAGAAGAGTGGGAGGAGATCTTACACTCGGGCCACGAGCTCCTCCACCTTTCACCAGACAAGGTTCTCCTCCACGTGTGCTGCACCTGTTGTCCCCTCAGCAATCACAGTCTTCCTCTGTCCCCCTGGCCCTCATCCAAAGCAAGGCTCCTCGGTGGCCTACCCCAGGCTTAGTGTCGCTCACGGGTGATCACGTCAGCACGTCACCCACGACCTTATTCCTCCAGGATGAAACACCCCAGGTCCTACCAAAGTCCTCACAAAACCCTGGTGGAGTTCAGAGTGGAGAAGCGCCACCAGCACAGGCCTGAGTGTCCTCATCTTGCCTTAAGGACTCCTAAACTTCTGGATCCCTCTCACGTCTACTCTTCCGCTGGAAACCCTGGCCACCTGCCCGAGTATCCCGTCCCCGACGCACTCTCCCTCCGTGGCCAGCCACGTCCCTCATCTCTGAAGTCACACCGTCACCTACGTACCCAGTCCTGGTCCCCCTTCCTCCCACAACTTTCTGGCACCAGAACCAGCTTTGCCAGCGTAACCAGAAGACTGTTCCTCACAACTGTGACCCACAGCTCACGCACCTGGGCCCACACAGTGGCCATGGTGCATTTAGATGTCTCCCTTCTGAAGCCCTCCCCAGATTCCCAGACCTGTGTGTTTGGCTGCTCACTTAATGCATCCGGTCAGTGCTCTCCAGAACGTCTCCCACCAGCGTCACTCACACCCCCAGCTTCCTCATCTCAGTCATGGAGCTTCCATTCCCACAGCTGCCAAGAACGGACACCCTCGAGATATCCCTGAATCCTCCCTTTCACCCCGTCTCAGTCCACACTGGAAGATCAGTGGTCACTTTTTGAGAAACACATGTCCAGAATCCAATGGCATCCGAGCCAGCACTCCGGCCCAATGACCCTCACCTCGACTACGGCGGCAGCCGCCACCCTGATCTTCCTGCCTCCTCCCTCAGCCCACCGTCTTCGCCTCACGCCGCACAGGATGGGTCCTGTCAGGACCTCGGGACCATCGCGTGGCTGCTCCCAGCCAAGCCTCCCGTTACCGCCCCAAGGACACCCACCTTCTCAGGCCGTCGTTCCGGCCCTGGCCGCTGTCCCTCTGCTCTTCGCTCCCACCCGCAAGAACAGTTCCAGCTGCGTGTCAGCTGCGGCCCGTGCGCGCCCCGCTCCGAGTGTCCGGAATGACCGTGCACACACCGGTTGCCAGAAACGCTTGGCACGGGCTTGGGGTTTCTCCAGGGTCTCCAGACCCAAGACTTGGGGGACGGCATGAAGAGTCCCGGGACACAACAAGGCAGAGGCGAGCGGGGGGGCGGGGCAGGGCCAGGGCGGGGCTGCGCCACCTCCCACTGGCTCGTGTTGGTTCCGTCAGCGCTTCCGCGGCGGCGGGAAGTGGGGAGAGGCCAGCCCAGCCCTGGACCAACAAGCCGCGGCGGGCTCCACGGACCCAGAGCTCCCTGGATCCTCGCCCGGCCCTGGAGACTACGGGCCGGCGGGCTGGCAGTTCAAGCTCTGTGCCTCGGCGCTCAGTGTCGCCCCTTGGGACGTGCCCCTCGACGGGAGCCCGGACGCCGGGGCCTGGGCCGCAGGGACGCGAGCAGGCGCCCCGCGCTCGGCCCTCAGGGTCTCGGCGGGGAGCGGGCGGGGAGGGCCCGGGGGACGAGCGCTTACCTGAGCCGGGGCCCTGCGCGCGGCCGGCGCCATCGGACTGGGGGAGCGGAGCGGACCCCCGGGCTCGGCGCGGGGCAGCCCGGGCAGCGTCACGCAACCCCGGACCCGCAACCGTGCCGCAGGGCCCGCGTCTCCTCTCGCCCCTTCTCGCTCGTGTCAAGTCGCTACGGTTGCAGAACTGTTTTACTTACTAAGCAAAACTAAGAGCCGCTCTCACGGCTGCTCTGAGGAGGCAGCCGGAAGTCCCGCCTGCGCGGTCCGGCCCCAGGCGGAAGAACCTCTTCTGAAGCTCTCATTGGACAGCGGTGCTGCCGCTCGACTCCGGGCATTCTGGGCAGAGTAGTCCCCACAGTCCCAAGGCCCAGAGTCAGGGACAGCCTGCCCGGAAGGTCCAAGGTCCTGTTGGAATGGAGTAGGGATAAGGCCGATTCTGTGGGATTCGCTTCCTCTTTGACATAATGTAATCATATTTTTGCGCAGTGCTCTCTGCAGCTGATCACCCAAGTGTTTGGAGAAATTTCAGACCCAGCGAAGCTCAGCATACTCCCGGAGGCTAAGAATATTGTTTGGATGCTCCCAAAGGCTACAAACCAAATAAGCACATCATTCCATAGAGTCTTTCAGACACTGATGTGTGCACGCCTAGTGGAAGCTAATAATTAGTGTCAGTGTCTCATCTTGGTCCCATTGATGACTGTGTCACCCCTGAACAACAGGCAGGTGGGCAGACAGAGGGCACCTAAGCTCTGGACCTCCCATGCATGGCCACAACACCCCCTCTTTCCAGGCGATGCTTCTAGGGTTCCCCAGATCGCCTTTCCCAGACACCACCGTCCATGGGCTGGCTATGAGGGCCCAGGGTCATAAGTTCATACTCCCTCTCCACGTGCACATCACTCTTTCTGCCACACCTCTCACAACTGCACTCCCACAGCCACAGCCCCTTCCTGTCCTACATCATAGTCATCTCCTCGGCTTCTCTGTTACTCAGCATACGTTGCCCTGAAAATGCTTGCCACATTCAAACAGGATCAAGTAGTATCCTAGACTCTGATTGCCCCACTGACGGAGGCAGCCTTGAGTCCTACGATTAAGTCCTCCCTCCCTGTTCCTGCTTCAACATCATTACCAAGCATTAAATCAGATTTCAGATACCAATGGCTCTGCTGCGGTTGTACTGGCACTTGTTACCTCACCAGCCTTCAGAGTCCGTGGATGGAGCAGGGTGGGAGAGGAGGGGGCACCTGGGCCTGGCGTTCCCTGTCCTGGCCTGGAGTCAATCACCTCGATCCTTACCCAGCGTTTCGGAGCCTCTGATCCCATGGAGAAGACCTGGAGGAGAATGGGAGAAGTCCTGCGCTAACATCATTCCCAGGCACGGAAATGCCCCTCTCCCGGGCTTTCATTGGAGCAACTCAGCGGTCCTCGGAGCAGCGTTTTCTGGGTAATTACTGCAGGGGCCTGCTGCAAGGGATGTCCTTAGTGTCACGTGGGGGAGAAGAGGTCTTGGGCACCATGAGGGGTGCTGGAAATTGTAGAGATTTCGAGGCGGAGGGCTGGGGACTTTGTGCCTTCTTAGAAGGGCCACAGGCATACTGCAGGGAAATCATGTCCACACCTCATCACTTTTGTGTGTAGACATATAAGGGAGGAAAATGTTTTCCGCTACACATCCTAAGTTCTCTCCTCAGGCTTTTATAACAAAAGACGTTAACAAGAGAAGAACATAGGTACATAGAGCCCCTTTGCACCTGGCAAGACTCAGATCCTCCTGAGTGCAAATGCACTCAATATCAATTGGAGTGTGAACTTTCACGTTGCAATAAAGCTTTTCAGTTATATTTTACCCTGACTCATTCTTGAATTCTTTCTAGTGAGAAAATCAAGAACCTGGCACCAGCTGGTGGTTGAGGTCTCAGGGCCCGAGAACTCCCCTAGTTTCCAGTATGACACCCAGCGAGGGAGATTGTTAATATTCCCATTCTATACTTAAGAAAATAGACAGCAAGGGCAGTAAGGAGACTTGCTTCAGGTCACAGCCCTGGAGAAGGGCCCAGGTGGAACGCACATTGAGGTCTCTGGTATCTGCAGCTCTGCTTTTCTCTGCGGTTCCCTCCATGCAGATGACACAGGGTTAGTGGGATTCTGAGAAGCTACACTTCATACTTCCACACTGCATCCCATTGGATTCCTGAAGTGGGAACCTCCCCATATAATCTCTGGCCTGGATCCAGTACTTTAGGTTGGGAGTGACCGTCCAAGGTCCCCAGACTCAACATCAGGGAGGGAAAAAGATGAAGTGTCTGGGAAAAACCCTTCTCTATACTGAAGCACTAAATACATGGGGGTGGGAGTGGAGGTCTAGTTGAAGAGGGCCTGGGAAACCCTCCACTCATCTGTGCTTATCTGTCGGTGCCACTGTTGCCACGGGAGCTTGTGGTCAGAGAGGGTCATGAGAGGTGGCAATGCCTCAGCAGAATCCAACCCAGGTCCTACAAAAGGATAGAGATTCTATCTGCCCAGTTCCAGATTTCTCCTTACTCCCCTTCCCTGCTTACTCTCAAAGAGCAGCCTCTTTGGGTCACAATACAAAAGGAGATGGGATGACTCAAAAATTTTGTCCCAGGGGCGCCTGGGTGGCTCAGTCATTAAGCATCTGCCTTTGGCTCAGGTCATGATCCCAGGGTCCTGGGATCGAGTCCCGCATCGGGCTCCCTGCTCCACGGAAGCCTGCTTCTCCCTCTCCCACTCCCCCTGCTTGTGTTCCCTCTCTCGCTGTCTCTCTCTGTCAAATAAATAAATAAAATCTTTTTTTTTAAGATTTTATTTATTTATTTGAGAGAGAGAGAATGAGAGACAGAGAGCATGAGGAGGAAGGTCAGAGGGAGAAGCAGACTCCCTGCTGAGCAGGGAGCCCGATGCGGGACTCGATCCCGGGACTCCAGGATCATGACCTGAGCCGAAGGTAGTCGCTTAACCAACTGAGCCACCCAGGTGCCCAATAAATAAAATCTTTTAAAAAAAAATTTGTGCCAAACAGCCAGAAGGATGGATTTTTCTATGGGCTATTTTAAGACTGTGTGTAGAGGAGATTTGGAGGAATTATCAGGACTTAAAAATATATATATTTCATTTAAGATATCTATTAGATCATGAGGTAGAATTTCAATACAACTAAGAAATAGGGAGAAGATATGGAAACAAATTTTAAAACTCTCTTTAGATTAGATAAGTTTTATTTTTTCTCCTTTTTTCTTTTGTCTTTTAATTTTTTTTCTTTTTTTTCTTCCCCATCCCTTTTCCTTCTTTTCACCCTTTTCCCCAAAAGTTTACAGTACTCAGTATTACCAGGTGGTTTCCCATTCAAGTCCTACCAGGATGGTCCTAAAACAGGATGGGCCCTGCTTAGCTTCCAAGATCGGATGAAATGGGGCAAATTCAGGGCAATATGACCTTAGATTAGGTCTATTTTCTTTTCTTCTTTCTTTCTTTTTTTTTTTTTTTTTAGATTTTATTTATTTGATAGAGACAGCGAGAGAGGGAACACAAGCAGGAGGAGTGGGAGAAGGAGAAGCAGGCTTCCCGCGGAGCAGGGAGCCGGATGCGGGGCTCGATCCCAAGACTCTGGGATCATGACCCGAGCGGAAGGCAGACGCCTAACGACTGAGCCACCCAGGCGCCCAGGTCTATTTTCAATAATAGCAGAAACAAACTGCAGTCTTTCATGGTAAGTGATGTGATTTGAAAATATAAGCATTATATTTAATGACATTCTAATAAAAATGTTAAAATTTCTAAAGGTCATCTGCTAATTGCAGAAATACAAAAATTTCAGAAAATAAAACTAAGTGCAATGAAGAAAACTTGCCCCCTGATTGTACACTCTATTAACCACAGGTTATTAGGGAGCCCAAGAACAAGCCATGTTTAGGAGTAGATGTCAGATAATTTCTAGGAATCGATATATGATAAAAGTTGTTAATTAGTTGGGAAATGATTTTTTTAAATGAGGGTATTAAAATATTTGGAGATTTCACTGAAAACATAAAGGGGAAATTTCAGCTCCCACTTAGAACTTAATATAAAGTAAAAAACATTTTTAGGGGCACTGAATGGCACAGTTGGTAAAGTTTCTGACTCTTGGTTTTGGCTCAAGGTGGTGAGATCGAGCCCCTTGTCAGGCTCTATACTCAGTGCAGAGTCTGCTTGAGATTCTCTCTCCCTCTCTCCCTGCCCCTCCCATTCACGCTCTCTCTCTCTCAAATAAATAAATCTTTTTTTTAAGATTTTATTTATTTATTTGACAGAGAGAGACACAGTGAGAGTGGGAACACAAGCAGGGGGACGTGGGAGAGGGAGAAGCAGGCTGGGATCATGACCAGAGCCGAAGGCAGACACTTAATAACTGAGCCACCTAGGCGCCCCTCAAATAAATAAATCTTTAAAAAACATTTTTAGCTCTCATCTTAGAGGTAGTAAATAAGAGTTCAAACATGAAGAAAGGCAAGTCTCTAATATAAATATAGTAGAGTAGATTTTTACAATCTTGGACTGGATAATTCATCATTAAGTGTGACTAGGAAGGCTTAAATTTTACTTGGCATACTCAAATCCATAAAAGTAAAAATTTACTTAAAGGTAGAATATAACACAATATAATAAAAAATTGAAAATAAAAATGTAAAAAAATTTATGTGTGGGTATGAAATGGACTGTGCCAATCTCAATGCTGTCACTAATCACATTGGTTAAAGAACAAGTAAGACAGGCAATGTATGTGAATGGTAATTATTAGAGGAAAAATAATGATGAACACATGTAAAATTTCTCAGAAATGATCAAAACACTAATTAGATTTACAATAACATTGTATGTTTCAAATACAACATATAGTCATTTACTGAAATTCATTTTTGGGGGCGTGGGGGAGCAAAGCAAAGTTTACTGAGTAACAGTACAAAGCTCCCAAAGAGGGAGGGGACCTAAGAGGATTGCCCTACTGAAATTTCATTAAGGGTTAATTTCCTCTGAAAGAAATTGTGCATAAACATTCTCGTCTAAAAAAAGAAACAATAATTCACCATTTATAACCTACAATTTGCAGTACTAAAAATGGCCAGAAATTTTAAAGATGTTTGAAAACATTCAGAGAACAGAATACATAAATATGCATATGCTACAATTACATAATCTTGTGTTATTGTCCTTTTAAAACTCAGTAACATTTTAAGGAACTGTTTTTACAGGATATTAAATTTAGAAATAT